TTCATTATATATTTTATCTGTACCAAAATCCTTCAAAAACATTTTTCTAGAGGTGATTCCGAATCGAATGAGCTATCGCTCATATTTTAGGACCTTTATCTCTATTTTTCATGTTTTTGAACTTGTTGATTAGACTATGGGACGAGGTCCCATACGGTTTTTGATGGTTTAAAACGTATTATAAAGGTCAATGAGCTCGAAAAGTGAGTGCCCCACGACTTGAACAATCTACAGAAATTGTCACGTTTTGAGGTATGTCGTGCTTCGTTTTTGCGCAACCAAAACAATCCTTTTTTGCAGCAAATCGTCACTTGTGAAGAAAAGTAGATTCACTACGGCAACAGGACACTTTCAGGCAAGTTATTGGACACCGATGAGCCACCCAGGCACTTTCCAAAAGCGAAAACACACTAAAAAAACCACGATTACTGTATGTTGCCAGCGGCTCGTGTTATTTAGTAAATCTTCCTGCAACCGGGCCAAACTATCACGACAGAGTCCCGTTGTGAGAAAATCGACGAAACGGCAGCAGCCGGCACTTGCCAACAGAAGAGGTCCGATTCTGCTCAACGACAATGCCCGTCCGCACGTTCCACAAATAACCGTTCGAAAATAAAACGAATTCAGCGTCAAAGTTATGCTTCATTCGTGTGATGATTGTGAGACCAATGATCACGTATGATGCAATTGCCTGGTGGCCGAAGGCTTTACAGAAAACGGCCCAGACGAAGCTCTCTGTCTTACAGAGACAGGCTTGTCTGACTATCAGTGGTGCTATCAGTACCACACCGTCAGCGGCCATGGAGATCCTTCTAGATCTACCTCCTCTCCACATTTTTCTGGAGAGAAAGGCACGCTAGACTGCATACAGACTTGTGCATATTGCCAATTGCACAAACCAATTAAATGCAGAATGCAACAGACTGCTGGTTGATACTGAACGTTACAGTATTCTGGAACTGACCTCTGACTTTATGACTTCAACTGTCAACTACGAACTGCCTTATAAAGTACTGTTCCCGAGTAGAGAGGACTGGTTTCTCCGGGAAAAGGAAATATTAAGAGCAGATTGTTGTTGGTTCACAGATAGGTCAAAAACACCTTCCGGTTCTGGTGCAGGTGTTTTTAGTCGCAGACCCAGGACAGAGATATATACAGGGCTTTTCATGATGAGCGTTAATTAGCCGTTTCTGGCAAACTATTCAACGGATCAACCTGAAAATTCCACAGTATGCATAAGTCAATATGACCTACACGCCCAAATATTTCAGACGAAGTGGCGTTGTCGCTTCTACTATTTTTCAAATGGAACACCCCGTATATAATATCATATTATGATTCATTATCACTTTGTCAACAAATTCATGTACTATTTTCCTATACCTATCTATTACCGTTTAGAAGATATAAATTAATTTCGATATTTTTTTTACCAAACATGAACTTTTATAAATGCTGATAATCTTGAACTCTCTTGCACT